CTAAACAGATGAATTTGTATTTTTCTATCATAAAATATAAATGAATATTTGACCCATAAAACTGTATAGAAAAATTATATAAATATAGACAAACTCTTTCATGGACTTGTTTGGGTTTTTGTTGTTGTTGGAAAGATATTTTATCAGTAAAATATGAGTATAGTTCAGAGAATTGTACTAGTTTTTTCATGATTAATTAAGATATATTCAAATTACAAAAGTTTGGTGTGACAGCTTTAACTTGTATAGATATTGTATATTCAATAAATTTTGCTTGCTTCTTTCTTCATCATAAACAAGAGACAAAATTAGTGTTATATATTCCCATATTAAGAGCAATCAGGAAACATAGAAGAGCAATTTCTCATGTATTGCCAGCTTTTTATTCTGGAACAGAAGGAAGGAGATTCGAACTTTAACCTTATTGTTAATGTTCAACTGTTTTCTATGAGTTTGTGCCAGCTACAATCACAATTATAACTTATCATAGATGGGAAAATATATATTCCTTATCAGAGTAAGAATTTGAATTAATTGTTGATTTTCAAATTCAACAATAAATCCTCTTGTTCATGGGTTATACAAAATCATCTATAAGACTTCAAACCAAGTCTTGATCCCAACTCTGAAAACCTTATTTTCCAACTCAATATTTGCCTATCTACAATTTTTTGGTCTGTATTTTAGCAATACCTTTTTACTCCATCTCCATAAAACATAATATTCCATAATGCTGTAGTTAATTATAATACAGTCATTTGTTAACTCAATAATTCATAGTCTTCTAATGCATCATTCAACATTTGATACGTTTAATTTTCATCTAGAGTTGCATTAGAAGAAGGAAATATATTTGCAGTGTAGAAATATGGTCTATTCAAACATTTACATCTTCAGTTTTGCAGTTTTTAATCAAGTTATTGGATTTCTTTTGAATAGTAATTTAATCCTTATCTCTTTTCTTAATAAAAATCTTTGGAAATTACATAATTTTGGTGTGACAGTATTGACATTCACAGATGTTTTCTACTCATTAAGTGTATTGCTCTTGATTTTGCTTTATAAGGAACAATTAAAATATTACCATTGTCTTATTGCAGTTCAATTTATATTTATGATAATTACAGTATCATCTTTAACCTTGACCTTAATTACATTTGAAAAGTTTGTGGCAGTTGTAAAACCATTAACATTCTATAAAAATTGGACAATGAAGAGAGCTTTTTTCTCACTTTTCTGTATATGGTCAATTAGCTTTGTCATTTGCTCATTACCTTTTATGGGTTGGAACAAATACAAGGCCATTTTGAAGGTCAATAATACTTTTCAATGTAACGCTTTCAGTGTTGTCTCTTCTTCTTATCTTTATTTATGGCTATTTACTACTGTTTTACCAAATTCAATTACCAGTTTACTATTATACATTCCCATTCTAAGAGCTGTACAGAGGCACAGACAAGTAATTTCTGATCAATCAAATAATGTTAATAATATAAATTCTGAAGGGAGTAGTATTGGAACTTTAACCTGTCTCTTGGCAATTAACTGTTTCTCTTGTATTCTACCAGCAGTCTTTGTTGTTGCTAACAATAAGAGACTGACAGAAAATTATGGTTTATCAGAGGCTAATTATGATTTAATGGTTGATATTGCAACAGCAATTGGTGCTTTAAATCCAACAATACATCCACTTGTTCATGGTTATACTAAATCATCAGTAAGACTTGACACAAAGAAATTTTACCTAAAAATACTTAGAAAGATTACTTGTAAACAAACATTCAGAAAATAAACAAACACAATTTATTATTTATGCTCAGCTATCATTCTTTTAAGAAATTCAAATAAATTTTCACAATAGTTAGCTGTTTTTTTTGTGAGAGAAAATGAAAATGCAATTATTAGAAATATGTCACAGGTTATAATTATATAATTAATATAATAACAGGAATTAAATATTCCAGAACTTGTTGTTCTGTTGCCAAACTTTGATGGAACTATCATTTATAGCTTCTACAAAATCAGATTGTGAGAGAGAAAGTTATTCATTCAAAATCTTAAAGGGAATGAACTAGAAAGGAAAAGATTTGCTACTTATTTAATTTAGCATTTGAGCTCCAGATCTAACTGACATGTTTATTTTCAGAAATTATGATTTTGTAAGATTTACAAAGCAGAAAAAAGTTGAATATAAAATCATGAAGAAATTAATGACATTACCATTCGTGCCCTCTGATCTGATAGAACCAACATTTAAGACTCTTAAAGAAATATATCCAATTGAAATGAAGTCTCTATTTAAAGAAGTGGGTTTAATATGATTTGTGGAGAACTTGAAGCCTCATGCAATACTTTGAAATCAATTACTGTTGTTTAGGATAATTTGAATGATAGAGAAGAGCAATGATGCTTGAATATACATTTCAAATCTGTTCATCATTAAATTTTATTAAATTATCTTGGAATAAGAATATGAGAGATGGCTTTAAAAATATTTGTGATGGACTCAAAAACCTTCTCTTATACTTTAAAATCAATCAATGTAGCTTCATGTGAGTTAAATGCTGATCAAGCTAAGATGTGAGGTGAATTATGAAAAAAGCTGTTCATCATTAAAAGATATTGGGTTATCTGGTAATGAGAAAATGGGATATGTATTTAGAAATATTTGTGAAGGACTGAAAGCCTGCTCCAACACTTTGAAATCAATAAATGTAGATTAGTGTAAGTTGAATATTAAGCCAGCCATGATGTTAGGGAAAATCAATTCAGAAATGTTAATGGAAAACATTTGTTTAACTGGTAATGAGAATGTTGGTGAAATATTTTAATTTATTTGTGAGGATTGCAATGTCTCCTCCAGGATTATTAAAACAATTGCAAATTGGTGTAATTTAAGTGCTGAACAGGCAATGATGTTGGAGAAAACATTTAAAAACTGTTCAGCATTAGAAAACATTTGGTTATATAATAATGAGAATATGGAAGATGGATTCAAGTTTGTTTGTAAGGGACTCAATACATCTTCCAATACCTTAAAATCAATTGATATAAGTTGCTGTAACTTGAATGCTGAACAAGCAGAGATGCTTTGTCAAACATTACATAAGTCATCATTTTTAGAAGATATTAATTTATCTTACAATGATAGCATGGGAAATGGATTGAAAGTGATTTGTGATAGACTCCAGTTCTCATTCAATACATTGAAATTAATTTATGTATCTTGCTGTAATTTGAATGTTCAACATGCAATGATACTGGGGCAAACATTTAAAAACTCTTTTTCAAACATTGAACACATTAAGCTAAATGACAATATAGATATTGGAGATAAATTTAAAATGGATGTGGTAGAAAATGGCCATAAATGTATGGTTTTACCCTAACCCTAACCCAGCCCTTGTTTTTGCCTAACCTTTTTGAATACCCCTAACCCTTAGATGGGACCCTCCTAAGAACATATCAACAGTTATCTTATTCCTCCTAACCATTTCCCAGGCTGAAATCTAACTTTCAAATATTTCATTTATGGTTGTTTTCGACTGGTCCCATTTAAAATGATTCGTGAAGGACTCCACATCTCCTTCGATACTTTACAATTAATTCATATAGCTAGGTGCATGTTAAGCACTAAAACAAGCAATAATTTTAGAACAAATATGTAGGGGTTGTAAACAGACAATAATTTGTGACTTTTCATTTCTTCAATATAATGAAAACATTTTTATACTAAGCAACTAAAGATGATTATGTATTTAGTTAATTATAATATTGTATATACAGATGAAAAATTGTTATTGATATTACCTAAGATATTTTTGTCTCATCAAAATGCAAATGGAAATCTTATTTCTCCAAGTTACAAAGTTTCTAAGAAAAGCAATAAATGTAAAGCATTTTTTTGAATGTGTCTAGTGAGAAATCTGTTTAATTTGAATAATTTTCTAAAAAATCAGGACAAAAAGAATTTTTTAGGTATAATTTGAAATTAATTAACTAGAATATTTTTTATTAAAAAGGTGTTTGTACTTTCCTGCTGGTGGTTGTAGGTAAGTACTGGTCCAAATAGAATTGAATTAAGAGTAAGGCACTTAGAAGAAAGATGTAGACTCGAGGGAGGATCAATATAGAACCAAATTGTAAGAATAATATAACTGTATATTCTTAAGTAATATTAGACCTGTTCACTAAGAGGGTTCATTCAGCACTGAATGCCTGTTACTACTTATGCCCTGCTTTTATACAATTCCTTATCAGTTGTTTATGCCTTAGCTTTTGCTAACAACAAGGGTCTAACCCCAGATAAGGATTGTTCACAACAAACAGGGTCAGGGGTTATCATGTTATGCAGTAGTGATGTAAACAACAAAAACTTTGTGTAGTTGAACCATCAAGGGTCATTTGTTACATCATATTTATGAAACTAAACACTTGTTGTTGTTGTCAACATTTTTGGTTATGCAACATCCTACCCTTTGCCTATAAAAGGGGTTGATTATGTCAGTTCTGTACCATTTACCCTAGAGACAACTATTTATTGAATTTTCTTTGACAACTGACAGGTAAATGCATTGACACAGAAAAAAAAATATTATGCAAATACCTTTGATGAGTCATTTCTTTTGGCTTTTTCCATCATTAACCAATCAATTTTACCAAATGATCTTAAAAAAGAAGAGAATCAAGGTAGAATAAAAAATAGAAATTATAGTTAAAATCCTTTTTTATAATTCATTGTAATTGAAAAAAAAAATTTCATGGTAATGTAGGCCTAATTCTATTACAAATTCTATAAGGAAAGTAGGAAAAAATGAATCATTCACTATTATTTTTAACAATAACTCTGGATCAACACCGTTAAAAAAAGAAATTATTGATTCAGTATAAATCTATATACTAGAAAAGTTTATATGAATTTCTCTCTTAAAAACACAATATTTTAACATTTAAAACACGTCTTTTTTTAATGAAACTCTAAAAATTTTCAACAAACACTAGTTTATTTGGAAAAAGTTTTAGATAAGGTTACAATATTGTTTAGAAATAATGTTGCACTGTGTTTATTACTGTTGACTTATTCATTGGATGCATACAGAGAAAAAAAAAGTTAATGTAAGGGTTAGAAATTATATCCGGTCTTTATGTTCATATTTTTCAATTGAGAATATTTATTGCTGTCTTAATAAAGTCCAAATGCTCTGTTATCTGTTTTTTGAGAAGAAAAATTACTAATTGGTGAATGAAAAATAGAACAAACTATACCCTAAAAAAAAATGATGGAATTGCCAACATTTTTCCTATACCAGAATGTATGAAGCCATATATATGCCATTTTTCATCATGGAAACATGATAAAGATCCATCATGTCGTTTCTAAAATAAAAATGACTGAACTTCTGTTAATTGTGTAAAAAATGTTCTTACAATATCAATAATTCTGCTTGATCCTTCAGGATTACTTGCACATAAAATATTTGAATACTTATTTTCAATTGAAATTGTATCTTCATCTGTAAGTTTGCATTCTTCTTTTGTTAATAGTTTCACTTCTTTTTGATACATACTCCTCTTTAAAGGATCTATTTAAATGTTATGTTACATTACATTCTAAAATAAACAAAAATACTACCAGTTATTTCTTCATATTGAAAGTATGAAAATTTGCAAAAAACATTTTTGTTATTTTCAATATTTTTCAAATTGGGTAAACAAATTGGTTGAACACTTTTATTAAATTCTAATGGAGATTTCAATTTAATAACTGAAATATCATATAGTTTATGATAGCTATAAAGTGATGGATATATAACATCTTCTATTGAATAAAATTCTGAATATTTAAAATTCTGATTTACTTGTCCAACAACAACTTTTACTGATAAATAATTCTTCCTGAGTAAAATCAAATCAATTTTCTATTAAATCAAAATTTGTAAATTAAAAAGTATACTTCTGAAAGCATAGGCGACTTGTCAGTAAATATTTCTTATCAATTATAACTGCATTACATAGAAAAATAGAAGAGACTGTCAGCATTGCCTTTTCAACAAGAAGAGAGATAATTATTATTTAATCAAAGAAATTTCACTTACTTTCCAAGGCATTTCTCCTAATTTTACTTGATTTGTATCATAAAACAGACTAGAATAATTAGTATTTTTACCACATGAGTCACGTGACAAAATATCATCCAAATCTTTTATATGGTTAACAAAACCAATTCAATAATATTACTTTTTTTTTATGCAATAAAATGAAAAATTTACCTGAATTTTTACATGCTTGTATTGATATTTTATGAATTTTAATTTCAAAGTGCTCTTTTGAATTGGCAGTTATAAAAATCTATAATTATGAATTGAATGATATATATAGTATTTTACACAAACAAAACTATTTCCACTTCTTTTATATTTTCATATTTAAATTCAACTTCAAGTTGTGGCATGTCTCTTTCCCTTTCAGAAATTATTACAATCTTTAGACATTGTTCTCCATTACTTGTTAATTTCAATTTTGGTGAAATAAGTTGAGATTTGTATAAATCTTCTGAACTGATACTACAAATTCCAAGTTTGTCATCTAAAAGATTAATGAAAGCAAAAAAGATAAATAACTAAAAATCTTTTGTAATTTTCAATTTTTTGTACAAACAGTGTGCTTCATATTTATATTTGTCAAATATATTTTTAGACCAACCATATCCTTGATTTAATGGATGATTGATGGTATAACCACACATATGTTTCATGAAATCGCAATCTAACCAAAATTCAATAAATTTTACTTCAGTATAAATTAATAGAAAAATAGAAAAAAATCTCACCAAATGATTGCTTTATTGGATCTTTTAATAAATTACATTTAGTCTTTGACATCCAATACACACTATTTATAGCAACAGTATTATCGAAAGAAGTTCTTCTAACAGTTTTAAAAACAATCTGTTTTTTTTTTTTTTTTGAAATGATAAAAAAAAATTTGAAAATGATAAAACCTTGAATTTATTTTTGGGTAAATCACAAATGCATTCAGATTGCCAATATTTACTTTTAAAGTAAGAAAACTGTTTAAATATATTTTCTCCTTCATTTATGTAAACCTGTAATTAAAATTTTTGAATTTTTATTTAATAATATTTTTATTACTAATTTTTTTTTTACTTCAAGATTTGAATGTAAATCAGCAAAATATTCAAATGCAATACAATTTCCATTTGATTCAATTGAAGGTGAAAAAAGTTTTGTATAAGTATTCAGTGGAACGTTACCATTACCTGTTGTCAAGGTAACAGCTAACTTTTCATCTGAAAGATTTTCAAATGTAGATTTTATAATTTATAGTAATAATTAGATTCCCACATTTTCCTTTCAAGTTGCCAAATGTTAGATAATCTATATTCCAAAACCATTTTGATGAGGGAAGGCTTGATTCAATTTCAAAGTCACAAGTATCTTTTTCAAATGTACACAAAGAATTTTTCCATTCTTAAAAGTAAAGAATAAAATAACATAAAAAAAAAACAAAATAATAAATGATTCAATACCAGATTGACAGGGAAAATCTCTTAGATTGACATTATTAATTCTTAAAAAATGACTTTCACGGTTTTGTTTTAGAAATTTTACTTTGAACTTTAAAGAATTTTTGAAAAAAAAAAAAGGTAAATTCTATTCATTAATTCAATTGTAATCAGTCAAAAAAATACCTGAATAGCATTTTTTGGAATTGGAAATTGTGAAAAATTTTCAAAAAAAATAGACCTGTTGAAAAGAGATTTTATACTGTTCAAATATTTTTAAACTTTTGCCATATATTACTTAGATTGCCAACCACTTTCATCTTTGACATATACTTCCATTGGAAATAAAATTGTCTTTTTGATTTTGTCATCATAAATTTCAAGCATTAAGCATCTATCAATAGTGGAATTAGATAACAATGGAGACACAAGATAAATTTGTTCAAAAGCATAAGAACTTTGTTCAAAAACTGCATTGATTTAAAATATTTTTTGTTTTGATTATATTTTGTAAAAAGTATAAAAATACAAACATTTCAAGCCATTCCAATTAATTTTGTCTTGATAAAGTAACCATGTGAACTAGTGTCCTGTCTAATCTCAAAACCACACATTCCATTTCTAAAGTTGCAATTACTAGTGATATCTATAAAATTCAAATGATTATAATTGTTTTATATAAATATTTTTTTTTTTAAAAGCAACCATTTTCAACATTTAATGTTGGATTTTGGCATTGACCTTCACTTATAAGAATGTAATTAATTGCAATTTCATCTCCCAACAAAGCTTTTGATAAGCCAGCACGGAATGATATCTGAAAAATATGATTTTAGTGCAGAATGTTACTTGTTAAAAAGTTGATTTGTCTATAGCTTTTTTTTTTTACTTACTCTTCCATAACCTGTTCCATCGTAGTGATAATTGAATTGCTGTCTATTCCATTGATTATTAGGCCTTTGTATCACATCAACGACACTTGAAGAGTTATCAGAATGATCATTAGGAAGTGTTTTGAAAATCTGATAAAAAGAAAAAAAAATTGAATGCAATTATTTGAAAGTAAAATGTGGAAAATTTCCAAAAATTATATCAAAAATCTTACTAGTAAGTATACATCTGTTTCTTGTGAATTTTTTATTGTAATTCTATATTCAAAATGGACGCAAACAGGATCATTTGTAGTTATATATGGTGATGTTATCAATGGATATAAAGTATAATAATTATTCAAATTTGCCAATAGATAATTGCCTATATGAGTGAATAAAAATAATTTGAGTACTGAATTATTAGTCATTCTAAACCAACAATACAGACATTTGGTTGATTGTTTTTTATGAGAAATTTGGAATTCCTCATATCTATCAGATGTATATGAACAGAAATTATTGGAAAAGTAACAAGAATACTCTGATATCACATCTGATATATCAAAAAAAAAAAAAGGAAATTTAAATGCTCTAATTGAATTTGTTGATTGTTTGTCATACTAGTTATATTAGCTGGTTTTGAGTCACTAATTTCAAAATTATCCAAATAAATTGTACCTTTTGTTGAAATAGCATTATGAACTTTAAAATGTATCTGTATTTATGTAATAATTTTATAAACACCAAAAAACAACTTTATTACCACTTACCTTATTCAAACCTGGAGTTAATCTTACATAATTTTTTTGTTTACAATTTGAAAATATTGTCAAGAATGAACTGGGAAAAGAAAATCATAGCAATAAGATATTTTTACAGGAAAAATATATCAATAACTCACTTTGTTTCATAATTTTCATACTTGCTGATAGCAATTATATCCACAGATATGGATTTGTCAGTTGAATACAAGTTGAATGTTAAATATCCATAGTGTTGATCAAGTGTTGGAGTTGAAAATATTGCAGCTTTATTATTGGTATCCATTATTTGTAATTTAACTAATCCCTCTAAATGGTTAGATTTATGAAATCAGTTTAAAGTAATAATTTTTCAAAAATAGTTCACCTTCTTTTGAGTACTGCCATTCAAGAGGACTAGACAGATCATTTACAATCTTATACCCACATAATCCATTTGAAAAATCACAAAATGTGTAATTTGCTATAAAATTTAGAAAAATCTAAAATTTAAAAAATGATGACTAATTTAAAAAAAATTACTTTTAGGAATTCTCCTTTCAGGGTAATCAATAAGATCTATTTGAGTTATGTATGCAAAACCATGCTCAGTGGATTCATCAGAAGATGCTTTAACAGCAATTTTGAAAGGTTTTGATGGAACATCACAGATTATTTCTTTTTTAGTCATATTACTTTCTTTCAAGTAAAAAGATGTGGAAGGGGATTGTAATGAATCTCCAAGCAAAAAATTCAACTATCAAATAGTAGAAAAATTATCTCAAATTTTTAAATTGTAGAATATACAGACTGTTAAAGCACTTTTAAAGCCAGATGATTTGGAAAAATATTCAATAATTAAGCATTTATCCTGAACACCTTCTAAAAGTTCAGATATTGCTAGAGCAGGGTTTTCTTTAGTGTTTTTAATTTTTGCAACTAAAGCATATTGGCTTGATTTGCCTGTTAAAAAAGAATGATAACTTTTTATAATAAATGTATTCAAAAACATCAAAATATTAAAATTTTACAATTGCTACTATAAATTTCTCTCTGCCAATAAGAATTTGAAGGTTTTGTAAAATTTTTTTCATTTTGAAAATTACAACTGTAGCCATCTAAAATTTAAAAAAATTTTTTTAAAAAGTTAAATAAATCAAGGGAAAGAAAGAGAATTTTTATCATTTTTTATACTATTTTTCCAGCAAGGTTCTTTTGAAATTAATAGTTTATCCATTATTATTTCCTCCCCACTTGAAGCTTTTGTCAGAAATCTCAATTTTAACTTGAAAAATAAAAAAGAAATATAGATTAAAAGTCTCTGAAAATAAATCTATTAAAACGAATTACCTGATACACATTTGGAGGAATAGTTAATTTGAGATTATGTTGACAAACAAACCAATCTTTAAAGCTGAATAGAAACAAAATCAAAAATAAAAATTTTATAAAGAAAATTTCATAATTTTGCAAATAAATCAAATACTTACAATTTAAAATTTTCTTTTTCTGTAATTCTTATGAATACTTGAATATGCATTTCAAAATCATCACTTTGAATTCTTACAAACTGTACACATAATTCTGGTGAATTATTGAATTCCAGAACTGGTGACACTAAGTCGGCAAAATCTGACATTTCATCAGAATATCTTGGTAAATTTAATTCAGAAAGTTCAACTAAAAAATAATTTTAAAAAATATATTAAAAAATTTGTTTTAAAAAAAATTTTACAATTTTACAATTTTCAGTAGAAGATTTTTGACTTTCAGCAAAAATATGAAAGCCACTTTTCAATTGATTTTCAAAAGTAAAATCAGAAGAAAATCCATCTTGATATTTCAAAATATTATCTGTTATTTTTTTTGATATTGATTATTTGCAAAATAATATAGAAAATATGGAGTTGCCAGAAAACATTCACAATTGAGTAATGGTTAGACAGCAACTGATTTGTATTTAGGAGGGTCTCCTCTAAGGGTTAGGGTACAGCTAAAGGGTGGGTTAGGGTTAGGGTAAAAGCACCAATTTGTGGATGTTTTCTATGGCATCTAGAAAATATAGTTTTACAAGGTTTTGGATCAATACAATTTCCATCGTGTATGCCAATATCATCTATTCTAATATTAATCTTTTGAGAATATTGGAGAGTTGCTTTGAAGATAATCTATTTTTTTTGTATAAAAAGACTCATTTTTTGAATTTTTAGTTTTAAATTTAAATGCCTTAAATGATAATTGTTTCATTGGATTTGTTATATTTAAAAGATATGGTTTCCATTCTGGAATATCCAATTTACTGTTATCATTTATTTGAAATAATTGCTTTGGTTCTTTTCCTTCATTTTGAAAATATATCTGAAATAATTTAATGAAATAAATGTAACAGATTTAATATGAAAAGATAAATACAAACAGCAATAAATTGTTTTGAATGGAGAAGCATTCGAAAACTTAAACAAAAATTTGTCAACTGTTCAATTGAAGAAATATATTTTGTTTCCAGTAAAGCAAAAGGTGGAATATTAAATATTGAAGCAAATGGTTGTTTAAAAGCATACACAAAGTAGTTTATACCTTTTTTAAATTTAAAAATATTATTAGATTTAGTAAATTTATCCACTACTTACAATTGTCGTCATTTTTGTAGAAATTCCTTTTCCATAAGAAATTATCAGAATTCTTCAGTTTAGAATTTAATATCATATTGCAGTTGTCATTATCAAAATTGCAGTAGAATATATAATCAGAAGGTATGGTTACAAAGGGAAAGTGCTGCTGATAAAATGAAGTAGAAGTCATATTGCAATTTGTATTTTTCCTTGGTAACTTTAAAACATTCACTGAACTATCCAGACTTTCAACTTGTTGAATATTTTTTATATTAATTGCAATTATTCTCAATTTCATAAATTTAGATTTAAGATTTTCACTTTTGAAAGAATCGTTGAAAAACTGTTGAAAATCAGATATATGTAGTGATTGACTACCAGTTGTTATCTTTTCAAAATTGGCTTCAAAATTGACTTTGACACTTCCACTACTAAATTTGAAATTATCATAGGAATTTATTGAATATTGCATTTTATATTTCCAAAATTTTAATAAATCAGACATAAATTTTGCAATAATTGTCTGATAATTCTTGAAAATTTTAGATTTAGAATTGGTGAGTTCTGATTGAAATGATTGATTTAAAGTTAAATCAATGGAAACAATAGCTATTTTGATTTAAAAAAAAAAAAAACAAAAAAATAAATAACATTTAAAAAAATGGAGAATACTAACTGAATTTGTTAGGTGTTTGTTCACTTTGACCTGTTTTATAAATATTTGAGTTATTTTTTAAAAGATATTACTCAACAACAATAATTTGATTGTATTTACCTGACTTCTTTAAGCCAAATATTATACCAAGACTAATTCCAACTGCAAGAGCAGCTGTAATTACTACTGCCAAAATTCCATAACAGACATTACGAAACTTCATTTTCAGTGTTGTCATTAATCAATTATAGAAGATTAAATTTTTCTTCTAAAAATATTAATAGCCTTTTCCACTTTTACTGGATTATTAAATCTTTAACCAACCAGATAGACTGATACATATAGAGTAAATGAAGAGTGGAAAGTTTTTGATATATGGCCTTTTATATATTGGCCAATAAAAAATATCACCTAATTCTATTTTACTGTTCAATTTTACCTGGTGACTAAAGAAATGTGGGGAAATAGTGAATCATTCATTTCAGGAATTTTTTTTCTAGAGTATTTAATAACTGATTTGTTTCAAAGAGAAAATATTGAATTTATATAAATTCTCATGATGAAAATGCATTGTTTAGAAACTTAAAATGGCTAAGTCATTTAAAAAAATGTTTTGTACAGTTTTTTATGACTGTTCAGAACAACTGCTGTGGAGAAAATAATAAGAACTGAAAGAAGGATTAAGAAGAAAATTTAGGCTTTGAATTCATTTTTAGAAGGATTTAGTACATTGTATATAACTGAATTTATTTATTATAAAATATAATCTTGATAGGTGAATAATTTGATTTTTCACCATTTCTATGTTTTGAGTAAACTCAAACTTGACTAATTCAGTTGACAATGATATTTTTTGTAACATTTTTCTTAGTGTTTCTCCAAATGACAAAATATCTACATTATCAAGATTTCCTTCAAGACAACACAGTTTCTTTATCAATAATACACACTTTTCTGTATCTTTACTCAAATGCTATTTTGAAGAGAAAGCCTTTTGAAATAATTATTGGACAGGCCATAAAAGTCATTTTCCAACAGAATAGAACAGAGAATAGCTTTTTGACTAAAACCTTATCCAAAGACATTTTTTCCCACACCCATTCAAAGATAAAAGGTCTTGTAAATGTTTTGTCATAGGCTTAGGTTAGGTTAATTATTTTCTTTTGTAAAGTATTAAATAATGATTTTTCAATTAAATTCTTTGCTTCTAATGTTCTTTCCCATATTTTAAAATAAAAAAACAAACAAATAACAATTTTCATTGATTTCCAATGAACAGAAAGATTTGTCAATTCATTAAATTTTGGAATGTCAGCGAGTCATAAGATGGCTGATACCAAATATTTTTGTAAAATTATAATTTATATAAAAAGCTAACCTCTAACAGTCTCGTCATGGACTAACATTGGTTATATTTATTAAAAGTAATGTCCATTGTATTAATGATGCACCAACAATGACAATGACAACAACAACGACAATGACAACAACAAGAAGGCATTTGGTTAGATTTTTAAGAAATAAACAACAACGATTTTCCATTAACAAACTGGATTTAAATGATGGATGGTTATGATATAACCAACAGTAGAATTTGGTGAATTTTCAAATTCATCATTTGTAACATTTAGAGATGATACAAGACATTGTTTTTTAAAAAAATTATATGAAAAAAATAAACATTTGCTTGTATTACAATGATTTAAACAAGATGAAAAAGTTGTAGCTATTGTTGTATTAAATTCATTATTAATATTCATATTCATTAATTTCTTATCTTTCTTAAGAATTATTCTAAAATTCATCTGTCCAAAATTCTCTTAAAATAAAAATAAATCAATTTTTTAAAGACATTTTTGTGTGTGTCTATTTTTATGTTTGTTACCTTGTTTCTTTCCAAATACCTTAACTTCACAAAGCTTTAATTCATTTGTGGTTGATGTAGGATCCATACTCTTTATAACAAGTAATTCATTTCCCAAAAATTGCTGAGTACATTTCACCTCTATAAGAGATGCAAATGTTGTTTTAGCTGTTGTGAAATTGCTACATAGATATTTAAAGTAATATCCATTTGTAATTACAGTAAATACAGAAATATTCATTGGATCTGTGAAAATGTATAGTTTGTATTGAAAAATATTTTATTAACAGATAATACTCACCAATTTCTACATCAAAAAATGGTTGAAAGATTACATGATCAACAAGATAAATTTGATCAAATTTAAATGTAAGAATTATATCTCCAGTTGATGATATCTTTGAACAAGACGAATATTTTGGTACACTTTCAATATTATAAAAATTCCCATCTATAACTTTTAAAGGAGAATTTGTAGGGTCCCATACAGATAATTCATTTGAAATTGCTTCTATTAATGGAATCTCTTCTATATTCTTGAATAAATATCTCTTTCCATATGCTAATATTTCAAAAATCTCCAACTGACTTGTAACAGAATCTTGAATGAATAGAAATCGACTGTAGTTTAGACTATTTGTACATAGCCATCGAACTGTACCACCACGTTCACCATCCCCATTTACATTGGAACAATCAGAAGTTGCTAGTTTTTCATATGGGTTAAAGTTCATATGATTCAGCATGAATTTAAACTGGAGTTGTTGATATTTGTGTGAACTGTGAAAAGTTCTATGGATACAAATATAATCTATTGTAAAAGTATCAAGAAGATCAATAAACATCCATTTCATTGGTAAGTTTAATCCACTACCAGCCATATAGTATGCGTTAAAACCATCGGTAGCGAATGTTGCATAAAATGGCCATTCATTGTCATTCTGATTGGAATGAGTTGAGGATAACCAACAAGGTTTTCCTCTAGCAATGTTTACCAAATCTTTTTTTTTTTTTTTAAAAATATTATTATTATTTATGACTATTAAGTTTTACTTACCTGGCTCAGATATGAACATTCCAATGATATTTATACTTTTTAATGCAATTTTAGATTGATATCCACTTGATCCAATAAGTGAAATGAATTCACCTACTAAAGTATCTTTACATTTTATATACACATATTCATTATTGTATGAGTTTTGTGAATCTAAACATTTTTTATCCTCATCCGATAATGTAGAATCAGCAAAAATATCTCGATTTATGATAAAAATTTGTAGAAAACTTTCAATAGAGAATTCAAACAATTCAATATCGTAGATTACAAATTTTCCTTTTAAATGAATAGAAAAAAAATGCTTGTATTCTGGACAGGATGAATATCTAATTGACGCGGGTTGTCCTTGCAGAGCATATCCTGGATAATGTTGACTACATACACTTGAAACAAATGTCTCTGCATTTAGAGCTAAATTATCTTTTGTTTTTTTAGTGTATGTGTGTACATTGTGTAAATTTGATCAATCAATTGAGAGAGAGAGAGAGAGAGAGAGAGAGAGAGAGAGGAAGGAAGGGAGAAAAAAAAAGAGAATATTTTAATGAATTAGATCAAAAAATGAATTTTAAGGATAATCACTTGTATAAACTTCAATTTCGCAAATTGTAACATTTGATGAATCAAAAATGGAAATATTTACAAATTGACCAGGAGAAATGGGATTTTTGCAGTTGTATATGTTTATGTTACTTGTTAAAATTAGAAAATTGTTGTCTTGATCATTGTCATCATCTTCAAGACATAAATTAGGAGAAGAAAGTGGATGAGAAGAGTTTGTAGCTGATATTTCAATTTTTCTGTCATATCCTGGAAAAGAGAAATATGGAAAAGGAGATAAAAGACTGCCTAAGAAGACATATACTATAACCTGGAATATCTGAAGGATATATAACCAATTGTCTTGTTGTATATATTTTAACCAAATCAATAGTAATCCAAATTTGAGTAGAATCAACATGAGTAATTATTTGTGTACAACCACCTAAATTTTGATTAGAGTGTACTACACCATCTGTTAAATGATTTGTATCATATAGATTTTCAGGAGATGCAATAAAATGACTATGTTCTATTGCTTTATTAAGAGCAATGTTATATTTTCCAGATGATTGAATACCATTACATAAATCTGTTTGAATAGAATACGAAAGATTTAAATTTTTCATCGTTTGCGAAAATTGTTCAATATATTCTTTAGTCTTTTCATATGAATCAATATGAAATATCTTTTCCATTTTCTGATAATTTCTATCTAACCAGAAGTTATTAGAAGAAGAAGACGAACAATTTAAATATCTTCTCCATAGTCCAATGATACATATTTCAGAGTGGATATTTTTAAAATTTGAATTTCCACAAAAATCTCTTTCAAAATCATCTAGAAATAAAAATTCAGTTTAATATATAAATATATATATATATATATGTTATATTTACCAATTGTAACCATTGAATAAACTTTTGAATATTTATTATTTGAAAGTGTTTTAGGTGAGCAACTACTTTTCAAAAAACAATCGTAGTCTCCCGAAATTTTTAAAATTGCCAATGAAATAGCTTTACAATTTTGTATTGTCTTACATAGATCAAGACATTTAAACAGAGCAATCGAAATACTATGATTCATTATTCTCATATTAGACACATCATTCCCCGGACAATCCAACTCTGAAGGTACGTAGTCTTGAACTAAATAAAAGTTGTTGTCTTTTTAGTATGTTTTCTATTATCCAGATAAAAAATCATTAAGAGGATGATAAATACCTTCGTTACATAGCGAACCCTGGTAGGGTTTATCACATTCACAAGTTCCTTTAACGCATCTTCCATAAAAAAACAAGCAATCATTATGAGAATTGCAGTATTCTGCAATTATTTAAGAAAAAAAGTCAGTTGAAAATGAAAGACTAGAAATGAAAATATTTTTACTTGTAGAACAGAATTCAAAACAGGAAGATACGAAGATAAGATAAATGAAATATTTAGCCATTAGGAGTTGAATGAAGGAAGGAGGAAAGAATGAATAAATATTTTAACTATCCTTTTTTTTGTTTTTGGTATAGAATATAGAAAAAATCATCGATATATTGCATATAAATAATTAATAATTCCAAGTAGGATAACTCTATATAGATGGTATATTATTGTCTATTTAACAAAACGTTATTGTCATTTTCTAAGAGGTAAATAACTATTAATTACTTTTTTTTCTTTTTATTGCTTAGTTGTATTGTTCTTATTAAAACACTAATTCAATATTTACACTCTTTCTCTCTTAATATTTGCTAAATATTGTTTTAGGTGATATCCAATTTTTTGTCAAAAAAACAGTCATTCACTTTTTATCTATTTGAAATAATAGATCAATGTAATAGGCTAAAAAAAGTTGGTAAAACGGTTATTTTTAATTTTCCTCTCTAAGCATACACTTGAGAAAATGTTGATCAAATTCTTATTAAAGCGACATCTGGTGGCAAATGATATAGGAGACATTGCATTTAGATATAGTGATATATGAATACTTAGACTTTAGATATAAGACTACTTTAGAAAGACTTTTATTTTATAGGAATTAACAAAGAATTAACAAAGGAACAAAGAACATGAAAAAGATGCTGGTCAAACACCAGATGATTTTCTGATGAAAAATCTATCAATTTTTGGGTTGTTCATTGAAATCTTTAAACTTAGTTTAGTTGTTCATCCTACTACACACACCCAGACTCTCACTCATTTCTGATGTATTAAAGTTGCATGTATCAAATTGGTGTTACTTGTAACATTTCTGTAACAATTGCAGTCAAACAAAATGCTTTTTACTAAAAGTGAATAATAATAATAATAGTGAAAGAAAGGTATTTTAAGTAAACTATAAAACATATCTGGACTTTATGTTATTGCTTAAGGTTAGGTACTGCTAAGGGTTGGGTTAGGCTTAGGGTAAAAGCACTCATTTGTGGACATTGTCTATTGCAACCAAAATTATCATGTATAACCCTAAAATCTAAATTGAGATGACGCATTTCAAATGATTGAAGGGTTGTGTGAATCTTGTTAAATTATTACTAAGAAAAAATTCTTAACTAAAATAAAGATATTAAAGCCTTGAACAATACTGTTATGATGCCAGAAAATGGGAGTTGCAATCTTTGAAATATTTTTTACAATTTTAATAAAAGACAAAAATATATATTCAGTACTGTCATTATAACCAAAAGGTAACCCAATTTCTTCAAGTTATTAATTATCATAGAATTGATTGATATTTAATAATTAAATGTCAATACTTTTTTTTTTTTGAATATCCTTGCCTTTACATCTATCAGGGTTACTATTTAATTTAAATACCTTACAAATATAAAAGCAGTAGTGAAATTTTTGAAATCCTTTGAAAATTGGCCAAAAATTGCCATACATTTTTGATTCTACATAATAGTTTAAATTTTTCTTTGTAATCTCCCTACTCACAAGATGAAGTTTTTTTTAAAACATTTCAATAGTAATTCAGCTGATAAAGATGATTCTTTTGTAAAATTGCTGATTGGAGTACATTTTGTTTTTTTTTTCAAATACAAATTACTAATTTCTATTCACATTCTGAACAAATTTTGCACTTGAAAGGATTTTTTTTATAATATCACTTGGCCTATGTAGATGGTAATAACATTTTTGCCAGAGCACTCTTAACTTGGCTTGTTTGAACATTCAATTCCGAACAAAACAGAAATGTGACACTTATCACTGGGGATAAAAAAAATAGTGGCTAATATATTTTTGTTGATGAATTAGGGAAATTTCAATACAAACAGGGCTATAAATGTCCAAAAGTAGGCCAAACTGTCGAGAGCCTTGTCCATTACTACCTTATGAAATATTGCTGAATCTGAGTTGAGGGCCATTTTAGTTTGTTTTTACCACTTCCACTTTTGAAATGGCTGCCACTTCATTTTTCAACAAATTAAAAAGAAAATTTCTAGAAATAAATTTGAATTTAAGTTTAAATGAAAATAGAACAAAAAACTGTTATAACTTATGGTTTGCAATGATTTTACTATATAGAAATTCACTGATTATCTCTTCATGTTCTTTACCTAGAAAACAAAGGTGATGTCGAGGAGGAAAAGCATTATACAAATATTGCTGTTACTTCTACTTGCTCCGCCCAACATTCAAATGAATGGACATGCAAAATGGCTCTTAACTACGATTCGAGTCAAGGCCTATTAGCCGATTGGATATACATGTGCACTGAATGTTTAAATGTTGTATATCATTTGAATTTTTCTCGTGAAATTAAACCAAAACTCATTTGTGCCGCTGGAAGGTAAGATAGAAATTTGAATTGAGTTCAATTCGTATCCCATAAACTCTATTTTCGTTATTTGCATTCTTTTCAGAGAGTTCGGATCAAATACAATAATTTCGGAAATGAAAGTTGAATGCAGTTCAAGCTTTCTAGAAACTCTTGAATTTCCCAATTCAAGACTTAGAAAGTGTTTTAATTATTCAGAAGATTCATTGGAAACGGGCCTTAAAATGTGGATTTCAAAATTGTATGATCCTGATGGACAAAATCTCAGACTTGCTTACCTGCAAGTCTATATTCTGGGTAAAAAGAAAATAGAAAGAAAGATATTGATATTTTAATACCCTTTGTCCTTTTTATAGATAATCCTCAGAAATATTTTGATATAGAAACAACTGAACAACTTGTCTATCATCTTCCTTCTTCCCTTCAAAATACCATCACCCTATCCCTCAGTTTTGGCGTTAAAATCCTTAGCAATGGAGGTAGCAATTGCCATTCTTTAATTATTGGCTTACTAAATGAAACATCAAGATAATTATGAACAATAGAAATATCTTTTTCAAAGAAAGTGGCGTATTGAATGAGATAAAAAGTGTGAACAATGGGGGAGATTATCTCTTGGTTTGCAATAGTTGGAAAGATTATTGGATTACAATCAATGGTGGATATATTGAATTTGGACAAGGAAGATAGGAATAATCTAAGAATAAATGCTTTGTACATTGCAAACTGCACAGCGCCGTTATTAAAAAACCTACTGGATTTAGATGTATCAATGTGTTCAGTTGTCGATAAAAATCCATATACAATCAGTGTAACTAATGGAACTTCCTTCGGAATCGTAAAACATACAATCAGAATAATTTTGAAACATTCAATCATTGATAAACAATTGATAAATGTCTATTTATTACTAACAAAGGCTGGTAGCAAACAATCAAAACCTTGTTGACCTTCCAGTATTGATGAATTGAATAATGATAATTTATGGAGTTATATATTCGATTGCAGTCAAAATGCAGTTTTAATAGAAAGGATAGTAATTACTATTATGACGTCATCAGCCCCAAATTTACCAGTGCAAGTGTGTGAGGTGTTCTTATAGTTTATGGATTAAAAGAAATGTGAATTTACCATGTATAGAGTATAATATCTTGTTCTCCTTCTCCTCCCCGTCTTTCTGCTGCTTCGAACTCTTTGCCATTTTGCTGCTTGAAAAATTGCACAAATTGAATTTTAAAGATTGCAGTGTTGGACTTGCTATTTTCAATTTTGATATAAGCTGGATATCATTCAGTTGATTTTCATCATTTGAAATTTCCAGCAGATTCTCATTTAAACTCATATCCAAATAAGGTAAAGATCTACAATACATGAAAATTTTACTTAAATTCTGTCTATGTTCCTTGTAAGACAATTTGCAGAATCTCATAATCAAAAAATGTAGAAAAGGGGCGCAAGACTTAAATTCAGGTATTTCAATCTTCTGAAAGCCATAAAGAAATTATGTAAATTTTCCAAAGCCCTATTTTTCAAAACCTGAAAAAGAAGATTTCTAAATTCCTTAACATCTTCATTTTTGAATAATGACGATTTCAGTAGGCATAAAATCTGACCAAAACTAGTTTTTAACAATATTATTTGATCTATATTTTGTTAGGTCTAGCAGAAAGGAATTCTACTTGATACAAGTCATAATATTCTCTCTGGCTGAGCTTCAAAGATTGTAAATTTTCAGATTTCTGACTTTCCAATGTTGGGGCAAGCTTTGATTCAAGTCCAGCCTGGCACAGTGTTAGATTTTGGAGTTGGAAAAATTTCAGTAAGTAAATTACACCTATAGGCCTATTAAATTAAAATTTTGGCTTTTAATACTTTAAAAATAACTTTTTTTTGTAGCATTTCCCAGAGTCACCCTTTTAAATTAGTGTAGAAAATACCAACCAATATGACATTCAAGGTGTTACAACCTCTTGTGAACCATATTTTTTTTCTAACCCTTTCTCCAATATTCACATCATTTTGAAGTGCTACTCTAAAAGATTGATTCGAAAAAATCTGCAATGGTTTAGTAGCATGTTCTGATAGTCTGGAACATATTACATTCAAACACATTTACCTAACTGCCAAACAGATTAAACTTACCAGTTGAATTGTTGAGTAGTGCTTGTAAAAATTGTTAATTAACCCTAATTATTATATAATTATACCTCATTTGCATATTTAGTATGGAAAAGTTCTTCATTATCTAAGAACTAGCACTTTGAAATAATAATTTAATAATATTCAGACTTTAGATTCTATAAAAGTTTTTTTCTTTGTGATTATAAATTTTTTAATGTTTGGATGAATTTTGTTTTTATATTAAAACAGAATAAATGTCACTGACAAATGAAATTGGATTTTCTTGGAATGTCACCCACTAAAAAAACATTTACTGTTGGATGTTGTCTCTTTCCAGGGTTTTCTTTAGCTATTTCACAATATTATATTTCTAATTATTGAAATAAAATGTTTCAACAAAGCATGACATTTACTTGAAATATATTCAAAAAACTATACTAATTAAACATTTAACCACAATATCTCAATTATTCATTGAGGGTTAACCCATTCTATTAAAGAATTATTCAAAGTATTGCTTAGTGTTAATGTGACATTTACATCATAGTGCTCTAATTATTTTTAATAACATTAGGTGTGTAAATTTATGTTATATCTTGGTAACAATTTCACACAACTTAAATGGCTTCAGTGATTCTTTTAAAAAAATTTTCAAATTAATAAATTTTGTTGATGGACAAAAAAACTTGTAATTTTCTTTTTCTTTGCACAATACAGAAATTTTATCATAGGCAAAAAATTCAGAATTATGTTCTTCAATATTCTCTCCATAAATTTTTAAAATTCTACAAATTTGGTCAAAGTTTCAATTGTCAGATGGAGAATCTTACCAATGAAAGTTACACAAGTAGTAATTTTAGAATCAACTAGTTCCAATTTAATTTTTTTCCACTTTTCCTGATTACACTAAGCAAAATTCTCTTTGAAGGTAGACTGTGAGATTTTACAGAGAAAGTTCCACTATAATCTACCCAAATGTACTGCTTTATTGCATAACATTCTTCATTTGTATTTGACTCATGTTTACATTTAATGTCAGTAAAACATTTGCAAATTCCATCAGAAAACTTGCAGGTCTCAAAATGTTATACCAAAAAACATAGGCATGTGCTGAAGGCATTGAGTAAAGTGACAAGAAAGTTATATCTTGTGTGCATGATGAAACAGTTTTTAAAAACTGACTAACCCCTTTTTCAGAAAGATTTTCATGCACAATATCTTTTACATAGGATTGAGAAAAAGCATATTGATTCCCATGTATCAAAGTCAGCTCTTCAGCATTGTTGTCAAGATAAGCTCTTCCCAATATACTATTGTAGTTTTCACATGAAATATTGGCAATTTCTCCTTTAAAAGATGCTTGTATTTTAAAAATTGCAGAATTTCGTTTTGTTTTTATTAAAGCTTCCAAACAAGATGTGTAAATAACATCTGTAGACAAAGGAGAGTGTGAAATGTAGGTAGAAAAGTAAATGTGGCATTCTGAGAGCAGATGAGTGTTGCAGCAGAGACCATGAAATACAGAATGAATACATTCATAATGATAATTAATTCTACTAAGCAACCATATACACATTTGGGGAACTATAAAAATGACTTTGTAGCATTTTCTTGCATAGGTTTTAAGAAGTACAAGTATAAGTGGTATGAAATAATAGAGTTCAAGCATGTAAAATATATTCAAAGTTGTACAACATCTATTGTGGAAATATAATTATTCAATTTAGGGTTAGGGAAAATACATAAACTCTTAAGGCCAACTTCAAAAAGACAGTTTAGACCTATAGAGGCTCAACCTATTATACTGAAAATATAATATTGTACAACTTTGGTTATATTTTACATGCTTGAACTCTATTATTTTATGCAACATATACATGTACATCTTAAAACCTACACAAGAAAATGCTATAACATTGGCCAAACATAAGTCTGATTAGTCAGCTTGAAGGCTCATCTTTAATTACCAATAAAGGTTTGGCCAAGTTATAATTCAATTAACCTTCCTAAATGTTCAACCTTGTAACATCCTCTTACTAAACATAAATATGAACTACACATTTCGGCAACTGTAAAGTGATGATTGGATGTCAGAGGCAAACCTCAAAGTATATAAATCCTCACTATTCTCATTTGGCATGCAGCTTCCATCTGGACCCAAGGACCTGGGAGAATCATCTGGAAACAACCTCCACTGGAACCATCCATCTACTCCTCAACATTGGAAGACAGTTTGGTAATTTGGCAACCTGCTTTTACAAACTATCTACTCTGCTATTGAACTCTCATATTGTTACTTGCTTAAGTATTATTATTGCGAATAAACTGTTTTAATTTAAACATTTGTTTAAAGGTTCGAGTAGAACCAGTATTGTTATAACTTGCAAACCCATAGATTTTGCCAGCATGAGCAGTACAAATTTGGTGCAGTCGACAGGATATTCTTTTGGTTTATTCAAGAGTTTTGAGAAAGTAAATATGGCAGAAGGAGGAAATGGAAATGCCACTGGGGCAGTTACAGACTCTAACCCTTCAACCCCAGCAACTCCAACAATTACAATTCAGCCAGCAGGAATGTCAGAAAGGCAACAAAGACTAATTGAAGACTATGATAGATTGGTGAGTGAAATGAAAAGAAATCAAATCACAATTCCAACAGATCATGGAGATGGAACACATCACCCAGCACAGAACCCAAATGTTGATATCACAACAGTAATTCAAGCATTAAGGGCTGCTTGGGACCGCCCTCAAAGAACTATTCTCAAGTTGTATGATGGAAGCAAGGAGTGTTCAAAATTCAAGGAAGACTTTAATCAGGCATGTTATGCTTATGGTTGGATAGGTGAAGATGTTGTGAAAGCAAATCTTTTGGATTATTTAACTGGTCCTGCAAAGGATTTGGTGTTGGCTCTGGGTGGAGAGCCTACTGTGGAGGAAATATGGAAAGCCCTCCATGACAAATTTGATCTGGATCCTTTGGAGTATCAAGAGAAATTGCTTAATTTAAAGCAAATGAATGGCGAAAGTGTGGTTCAGTTTGTTAATAGAGCAAAGAAATTGATAAAGAGGTTTTCTCCACCTAGACCAATGGAACCACAATTGCTTGCAACTATGAAAGAAATAAAACTGATGGAAGTTTTACAAAGAGGATTACAACAGGATATTCTACATTTAGTGTACACCTTACATCCTAAATGTCAAACATTGGCAGAACTATATGAGGCTGCTAAGCAAGCAGAAACTTCATTAAAACTAACTCAAA